TACAACAGCGCTGGGCGTAGAGATGGTCAACACCGGCCCTTTCAAAACTCAGTGCGGCATTAATCTGGGGACTTTCCTCAACCCTCCTTCCCTCCACCCCACCTCCACCCTAGCCATGAAGTAGGGGAAAAAGCACCCATCCTGCCCATGCTCCCAGGGCGTCTTGTGCTTATCACCTACCACTGCCCACAACAAAGTATAGAAAATATCTATTTAGCATCAGTTGTCCCTGTTAGACTGGTGGCTCCTTGAGGGCAGGGGACCTCGTGTTTGACGTAAAGATCAGGCTCCATACATCCTGCAACAGCATCTTATTTGGTCCCCAAGCCTGTGCTCCAGATCCCCCAACTCCTGCTCCACACAGCAGCAGAATGATCCTCTCCAAACAGAAGTCATACCATTCTCACTTACTTGGCTAAAATGCCCCAGAAGTTTCCCAAGCTTCTTGTCCTCAACCTCATTTCCATTGGTACCTCCCGGGGAGGGCCTGTCTCGGTTCCCACCTCACCCAGCACTCAGTCCGCTTTCATTTTCTTAATGGAGCTCATCACCATCTGAAATTATCTGTCTTGATTCCATGGCTTCTTTACTGCCCGACATTGCCCTAGATGTAAGCTCCCAGAGAGCAGGGAGTTGCCCTGTCTCGCTGGTCCAGCACCTGGGACAGTGCCCTGCGTGCACTTGGTCCTCCAGGAATATAAGCCGACTGAATGAGCACCTGCCCCATGTTGGTTTAATTGAACTGAGTTACTGTTTTCTCACTGAGGGAATGAACAGCTGATATAAAATGCAAGTGAGATGCTTGTAGGGTCGGTGGGGGACCAGGCGGGCAGCAGATGAGCCCTCACAGAGGGTTTGGGAGGCCCTGCTGTGGAGCAGACCCCTCTCCTCAGACCTCGGCAATATTTGAAGGCAGTTGTCATGACCTCCGGCCTCTGTTTTCCACACTCGATACCCTCGGCCCTTCTACTATTTTCCCCTTGGAATGTTCTCCTTCCATTGTGAACAGGTGCCTCGGAAGCTGAGCCAATTCTGATTTGGAAGAGGCATCTCTGGTCAGATGTGACCGGAGTTTCTTCTCAAAGGCATTTCCGTCCCTGGAAGGAGCCCAGCTACTTGGGATGGTGCCTCGCCACTGAGACCAGGAGGGCAGAAGGCAGCAAGTGAGGGAAAGGCTCAGAGAGAGAATGCAGGAAGGGCAGGAGAGACGGGGACAGATCCTCAAGGAAAGGGAGAGAGCAGGGAGTGGAGAGGGAGGGAATACACTGCAACTGGGCTGGGCTGCCCCACGCCACGTGCCAGAGTCCTGCTACCCGACTGAGCCTGCTGCTGGGCCACCGTCCTCCTCGTCTCACCTCAGCTTGGCAACAACCCCTCCTCACTGTACAGTCAATTCTGGGCACATGGGCAAAAATGGGAGACCTCGCAGTAGAAAGGGACATCCTGGGGCTGCTCACAGAGAGAGGCCCCCCGGCCCACCCGGGTGCTCACTTTCCCCGTCTCTTGTGTGGTGGGATGTCTGAAGATGGGGGTTGGGTCCACACGGCCGTGGGGCTGACACGAGGCTTGGGGCAGAGAGGTTGGTTCAGGCCTGTTGTTTCAGGCCCAGAGGTAACAGGTTAAGCAACCAGTTGTTTCAGTCCCGTTGTCACTTTGGTAACTGAAATGTCAAAATCCATGACACAGAGCTTTCTAAAACATAAGTTTTCAACAACTTTTTAGGTGGAGGCAGGACATTGAGATTGGATTCTGAAGTTTACTTCAGAGCAGGCTTGTGTCAGGGTTGTGTAAGATTGCTTCACTAGGCTGGTGAAAGTTGAGGGCTTTCTTCCCGGCAAGGTCTTGTCAAATAACACAAATTCCCTCTCTCCTGTCGGGTTGCAGGACACGCCTGCCAGTTGAGATGGGCCTGGGGCATCTTGGGATCTGGCTGCATTCGGCTTCTCTGAGAAGCGCCGCCCCGGTCTCTCTCTGGCTCTCACTGGGACTGTGGTGGCAGCCCGCTGCAGGGCCTAGTGCCCGTGGTCTCAGTCCCACCCCAAAGCCGTTCCACAAACCACTGAGGCAGAGACTTTCCTAAAATACAAGTGTGACTCTGTCATTGTCCTCCCTAAGAGCTCCAGTGCTCCTGCCCCCGTTCTCCTGCGGAAAGCGTAGGCTCTTGGCCAGGGGTCTGCCCTGCTCCCCTCTGTATCTCCCGCCTCCCCCTCAAACAGCCCCTGGGCTGCTCATCCTGCTCCAGCCCCACATCTGCCCCCCTCCAGGCCTTTACACACGTGCCCTCCTCTTTCTGAGGCGCCTGCATGTTGATGCTGTGGCACCAGCACCACCAGCCTTGATGGGGCTCGAATATTCGCCCCCTCAGGGAGGCAGCCCAACTCCAGGACGGCCTTCCCACCTCACAGTCCCACCAAACGTGACCCCTCTCTGGCCTTTCACTTTCCACGTTGGAATCATCTGAGGAATGTGCTGTCTGCCCTGCAGGCCTGGGACTCCTTAATGACAGGGTGGGGCCCGACTTCTCCTGGGCACCCCTCACACGGCTCTGTGACACACCATATACAGTAAGTCCACAAGTAATGTCTGTTGAGTGAGTGGATGAGTGGACAAACAGGTGAATGACTAGAGAATTCCTCTCTCCCCCCAGTTCTGGAAGCATCTCGCAACACCCAGGCCCCAGAGCACAGTCAGAGCTTCGTGAGGTGTCTGGGCAGAGTCTGGCAGCTCTGGCTGCCGCTGTTCCTCCTCACCCCTCCCAGAAAGGCATCCAGAGGTTCAGGCTCCACTGCCAAGCAGGGCAACGCCCCTTAGAGGAACTGGGAAGCCGGCATGCACCACAGGCTCTCTGTCCCTTAGTCACCAGGATGCCGGGGAATCCCCCAAAGGTCTTCTTCCCAAAAGGACTCAAGAACCATAGGGGTGCTCAGGCATTCTCACCTGGAGTGAGAATCCGAACTGGACACCGACACTCTCCTTCCTCATCCCAGGGTGGAGCCGGCTCCCCTCTACTCAACAGAACCGGAGTTTTGGAACAGAAGGGCTAATGGGATGGCAGTGGTTAAGTCAACTTGACCAGCTCTCTCGAACTATGTTTAACGGGATCCCAGAGGGCCTGTGAGAGTGGCTTCTGGCCAGACCTTCCCCTGGGCTCTAGAACCACCTCCTACTCTGGGACTGAGCCAGCAGAGAGAGGAGGCAGATGGAGAGCTTGGCATCTCAGAAGCTCTGTGTCTGCCGTCCTGCTGCTCAGCTGCTCCACCCTCTCCCAGCCTCGAGGTGGCCAGGCTGAGGGCATCCTCCTAATGCCCAAACTGCCCCACCTCACACTCTCACCACACAGCCTCCAGCTCCGTAGGGCCCTAGGACCACCCGACTTCACTCGCTCATCCAGAAAGCTCACTGAGAGCATGTTCCATGCTGGCACATGGGGATATGGGGCAGGTCAGCCACAATCCCTGCCTTCAGGGCCATCGTCAGACTTGCAGATAAGGGGTTACAATTCCACACTGGAAGTGCAATGGTAGGCGTGTCAGAGAGTTCTAGGGGCCTGGAGGAGGAGGATGACCCATGTACTTGAGGTGGTCAGGGCAGACTTCACGGAGGCAGTGCTGGGGAGAATCACTGAGTCATAGGGGTGGGACAGGCTGAGCTAAATCAAAGATATTCAAATGTTTTTCAAGACAAACCCTTTTCTTGGAATAGAAGCTTCTCTGTGCAACCGTGAAGGCCAGATGACTGAGTAAAGCCTGGGGGCTCTGGATTCCCAGCACCTCGCAGCCCCTCCTCCAGTTTGAGGTTCCGTGATGGTGCCCAGAAGCCTTCCATCTGCTGGTTTGAGCCCACCCTCTGCCTCCCTCCTTCTCCACACCTGCTCCTGACAATTGAGCACGGCGATGAGGGAGCTTCAGAACACCTGCACCGGCAATGCTGCTGAGAACCTGCCATTACCAGCCCCTCCCCTAGGTGCTGGGAACAAAGCAAAGACAGATGCCACTTTACCCTCATGGAGTTCCTGGTCTAGTGGGGAGGCAGAATCACGAACATTTAGGGCACATTGTGATCAGTAGGCTGGCGGAGGCGGGGGGGGAGGGGTGGGGACCTTCCCTCCCCACCCTACTGGAAGCATCTCGTCCTGGTGAGGCCACGGGAAGAACCCAGGCTCCCCCGTCTCTGGTCAGTTCTCTTTCCCCTGTACCAAGCTGCATGCAGAAGGGGTGACCACCCCGGGACATGAGGCTTGGGCACAGGGCTGTCAGAGTGAGTCTCTCCAGCGGTTGCATCCCCAAGTCAGACAGGGAAGGGCCCGGGGGCTTCTAAAGTCCGCTCCCCAAGCTCCCCACTTAGTGGTTCCTGGAAACACCCTCATGCCCTCGAGTCAGAGCCCTCAAATTGCTGCACCCCCAGCGGAGCCCTGCGCCCTAGAACAGGGACCGCCTCGGTCCACAGTAGGCAGCCTGGGGCCCCGAATCGAGCCAGGCGGTGTGGGAGAGCCGAAATGGGCAGGCTGCTCCTTCCTTCACGCCCAGCACTGGAGAAGGAGCTGGAGATCCAGCCCCAGGAGAAGGTGGATTCACGCCCTTTTCTCTCTGTGCCATCGTGACCAGTTCTACCACTGTGGGCTCTCGACTGGGCCTTCTCCACTCCAGGCCTGCTTTCCTCATTTGGAACATAGGGGCTTGATGACTGGCAGTCTTTAGCTGCCCCAAACCGAGAGGAAAGGATACTCTCATTTTGCTTTCTATGATGACAGTGGGCATTTTGACAGGCTGGCCAGGTTGTCCTGAGCTGGGGCGGGGTGACTAGGACCTGAAGTCACAGCTGAGGAAACAGTCGGGGAGGTGAGCCCAAGGGGCTCAAGACAGCCCCACATTGTCACTGCTCCTCATTTGTTATTACTGAAGGAAGGGCTTGAGCCCCAGTAAAGGGGGCGGGCTGTCTAAGTCCCAGACCTCTGCAGGGCCGGGTTGGGAAGGGGATGGTGGAAGAAGCCCACAGCACACTTGCTTGGAGGAAGACTTTATTTCATCCTTCAGCTAAGGTGTATGGCACACAGCACTGTGCCCTAGTTGGGCAGGGCAGGGTGGCCTGGCCTCCAGATTAGTGGCTGTGGCCGTGGCCTCCGTGGCTGTGGCCATGGCCACCATGGCTGTGACCATGGCCACTCTCCCCAAGGCCTGGCCCATGGCAGTGGCCGTGGCCTTGGTCATGCTCGTGCATCTTCTCATGGGAGGCATGCGTCAGCCTGGCCACCAGGATGATGAACTCCTCGAAACTCAGCTGCTTGTCTTCATTGGTATCCAGGTCCTCCATGATATGATTTATGGCTTTCTCATCCTTCTTCTTACTCTGTGGGAGGGGGAGACAGGACAGTCAGGGCACGATGTGGCCAGGGCTGGGGACAGGGAACACAAATGATGACCCAATGGCAAAGGCTCAGGGACACCTGGCTCCTAGGCCTCAATTCCAAAGTTAAAACTGACCATGGCTGAGCGCCCACAGCGTAGCAGACACTGAGCATGTGCCGGACACTTTCCTGCTCATTTTGCAGACAACTCAGGCGCCGTGATTCTCTCTGTTTACAGAAGAGGAACTGAGGTCAAGCGCCTTGCCCGAGGTCACACAATCAGTAAGGATAGAAACGTCCCCTCATTTGGTCCTCATAATGACGTTAACAGAGACTTGGCATCTTCCTTAAGGAAGACGTGAGGAAACTGTCTTGGAAGGGTCATCAGCTTTTGCAGATTGACGAGGCTTGGGGGCAGAAGGTGGAAATGCACATTCTGATCCCACTCTGAGCCTGGTCTGGTCCCATTCCCCGCACTCCTGTCCACTTGGCTCCCTCCTCGTCCCTGCCCCTCCCTGCCCCCTTGGGGTCACTAATTAGTGACACATTTCAACCTGCACAGTGGGGAGCACCTGAGGAAAACAAGATGGTTCTGAACTTGTGTGGGGACAGAGAGCAGTGTGGGTGCTGCGTTGACCCCAAAGGTTGATAAAGTACACAAGGTGGCGCAAGGAGGGTTGAGGTGTGGCAGAAGGGAGCTCCAGTTGGTTCCAAGTATGCCACCTACTGGCAGGTAACACTCAGCTAGGGCCCCTCCCCAGAACCTGGGGTGCCAGCTCATTGCGCAGCCCTTCCCCCTCCTGCCGCGCTTCAACACGCTCTGCTTTCCTGCACTTTAGCCATGGCTGCAAGGAAGAGCATCACTCCTGAGCCGCCCATGGGCCAGGTCCCAGCTTCCCCTCCGGGCCTGTCACTCTGCTTCTGGCAGAGGATGTCGGGGGATGGGGCGGGTGAAGGGGTCACAGGGCAGAAAGCCATGCCCACACAAGCTCTTGGCTGTACCCTCTCTTGTCTGCCCTGAGCCAGCGTCCTGCTTTCTGAGCTGCCCCCTATAGGTGCTGTCAGCGTCCCCAGGACCTCCTAGTGCTGCATTCTCCACCTTTTCCAAGGTGGGGAGGGGTTCTAGGGAAAGCTGACCTGCTCCAGGATCCGAACTGAGCCTGGGACCCAATGTCCCATCCTTCTTAGTCCAGGCCTCAGTTTCCCCAAAGTCCCCACATTTGTAAAGAAAACTATAAGATCCAGTGGAACTAATCCTCCTTTGTCCTACAACTGCTTAACCATTTTCAGACCAGGGAAATAAACTCACGTGGTACTGAGTGCTTTGTACATGCAGTGCTGGGCTGGGTCCTTCCCCCAGCGTGTGATTCCCATGAGACCCTTGGGATGAGAAAGCCCTCTCAGGTCTTCTCCTCAGGTCCCAGCTGAGGCTTAGCATCTCCTTGCCTTCTGCCAAGGGTCGTCCTCAGCTGCTTCCCTCCTCAGCATTCCCCTCTCAGCTCAAATGTCGCCTCCTCAGCGGGGCCCTTCCTGTCCACCAAAGGAGTCACCTTTCCCCATCCAGCCCCAATCACCCACAGCACCCTCACTTGTTTTCTTTCAGGCACTTGTGGGCACCGGGGTTATCTGTTCTCTGCATTGGTCATCATCTCTGCTGTGTGTCTCTCCCATCAGCACAGTGGGTCTCTGTTCGCCACTATGTGCCTCTGCCCAGGACAAGACCTAGCACTGAGCACATGCTCAGTCAGTCAGTCTTTCCTGACCCTCTCGGGAGTCTAACTTCCAGCACTTCCAGTGACAGGGCCCCCGCTGCCTCTGGAGGAGGGGTGGAAGGAGCTGGAATTTTCTCTTTGATAGTTGCAGATGCACCCCATCCTCCATGCTCAGCCCAGACTCTCACCAGGCCGGGTCAGACCTGCCAGGAGTCCAGCCCTACCTTGAGGAAGTTCGCCAGCTCTTTTTGAACCAGCTGTTTGAATTCCTTCCGGTTCAGGGTGTCCGGGTGCCCCAGTCGCACAGAGTACTGGTGGAAGACATTGATGATGGTCTCTATGTCGCGCTCCATCTGGGACAGTTCCGCCATTTTTCTGCACTCTGTCTGAGGATGGACAAGCAAGGGTTCAGCTTCTTAGAAGAAAAGGCTGTCAAGCTTCCTGGACACCTCCTACTGGCTGCTCCAGGAAATGAAGGGGTAGACACAGAAAAAAAGAAAATGTGGGCCACAACTGAGCTTGGAGATGACCCTGTCCACACACGGAGAAACGGTGTTTAGAATATCTGGAGAATGCCAAGAAGCAGAGCATTTGAGGACAGAACGATTCAGCAGAACAGGACCTAAGAAAATGTGAAGGAGGCTTTAGAGTGTGCAGGTCAATCAAGGAGGGCTTCCTGGCAGAGGGTTTGAAAGGAAGATGGGGGAGGAGTAAGGAAAGTAGGCAGGCTGCCTCCTGCCCAAGGTCGCTGGCAGCTCACTTACCCAAGCCGAGAGCCACACAGAGGGTTGGACTGCGCGGTGCGGGCCCTGCATTTATAGGCCGCCCCTGGCTTGGATACTCAGCCCTCTTACAGGAAGATTGCTTCATAGGTGAGCAGTGTGGTAACCTTGAGCTCTCTGTCACTGGCAGGAAGAGGACTGGGTCAGGGCAGGAAGTGTTCACATAGCTCCTTTTGCCTTTTTGTGAAATTCCTGGCCTGGCCTGGAGCTGGTTTGGGAGGAAGCTGGTTGGTTAGTTCACCTCCCCTCCACTAGAACCCTGCCCTCCCTGGGCAAGCCAGCCAGCCGCCTCTCCTCTGGCACCCGCTCTGCCTGCCTGCTTTGAGGTTGTGCCTTCCCACCTGTGGTCTCCTGGGGCTGGCGGTGGGTTGTGGACTCCTGGGGTGCCCGACCCATTCTGCCTCCCCCGTGGGCAGCCCGACGAGGATGGCTGAGCCTTTCTGAGCCTGCCTGGCTCCGTGATAAGTGCTCTTCAGAGGGCGAGGGGTTGGTTTGGGTTCTCAGATTCATAGGATATCGGTTGGGGTTAGAAGGGCCCTCGCAGGTGGTCGACCCCCTTGTATTGCAGATGTGAAACTGATGCCCAGAGAGGGACCTGAGCAAGGTTGATGATATAGCAGGAATAGGGCTGAGTATCCTGGTTCCTTGTTAAGGGCCATCCGGATTACCCCTCCCTCATGCATCTGGGCAGAGATCCCCAGGGCAAATGTGTTTCTAGAGGTTCTGAGTGTTACTGTTCTATATCCTGCTCCCAACACGGCACACACGCCCTTGAGGAAGGTACAACCTAAAAGACAACTCTCTTTCTGTAGCTTCTTGGTGAGCAAGACCTGGCCTTCTCCAGGGGAGAAACCTGAGGTGCTTTGCACAGCCTACAAGCCTCTGGGAATGCCCCTCTCCGCTCAGTTGGGCTCCCCTCCAGCCCTCCGTCCTGGGGGCACACAGGGCCACCTGCCACCGTGCATTTCCAGCTCTGTCTCTGGTGCTCTCCCCCCAGGAGTGCCTTCCCCCACCCTAGGGTGCAGTCCTGCCCACCCTTTATGGGCTCAGTTTGAATGTTACTTCTTCCAGGAAGCCTGCGGTGTTCTTCCCAATTGGAAACAATCTCTTCCTCCTGGACAATTGCTCCCGCACGACCACATCCCTTGGAGTGAAGTTATCGACCTATTTTGCTTTTGTCTGATAATTGCCTGTAGATCCTCAAGGGGAGTTCTTATTTACGTTCATATCCTCCCCAGCACACGGCCCTGGGCTTGGCCCATGGGAGACCTCACATTTGCTGGAGGATCAGCTCCTCACTGGCACCCTGCCCTCAACCCAGGAAGTGTGTATTAGGACCTACTATGGGCACCTTCCCTTAACCTCTTGCTTCCTCCTGCCTCTCCCCTTCCGTCAGGGAAGATGTTCTCCTCTTCCACCTCTACTGGTCTTTTTCTCCAAGTCTTCATGAAGCCTTTCCTCGCTGCCCCAGCGACTCCTGACTGCTCTGCCCTCTGGCAGCCCCTCTGTGTGCTACACCTTGGCCCTGAAAAAGTCCTGCCTTGCATTGTGAGATGGCACATGGAAGAGGTTAAGAGTCAGACTGCCTTTGTGACCTTAGGCAATTTACTTATCCACTCCGTGCCTCACTTTCTTTATCAATAAAATAAAAGGACCTACCTTGAGAATTGAGACGTGTAAAGCTGGAAGAACTCAGTAAATAAGAGGTATTATTTTTAGTTATCTTCTCATTCGTTTACACAAGTCTCGGTGAGCAGCATCCATGTGCCAGACACTCATGCCAGATGCTGGGGGAGCTTGGTGAGAGAGTCGCAATACATGGGGGAGACACAATCTTATAACCCGAATTTCAAATCCCACGTAAACTCTGGGGAGCTGAGGACGAGACCTGCACAGTGCCAACACACAGCAGGTATTGAAGAAATGCTTGCTGAAGCCATGCTGGAATGAAAGAGGGAATCATCTGTGAATGAATGAGCAGTGCAGGCACAGCCCAGCAATACCTGAAAGGAAACTTCAGGTGCATTCCCTGAGGGGTCAGCCCTCCATCATTTGAGCTAATTAATGGAGGAAGTGCGGACAAAGGCAAGCAGCTGATCCTGAGTGCCCCCTCCTCAGGCTGTTAGGAGATCTCTGTGGTTTTAGGCAGTCCTGGCAGATGCCTGGGGCGCCTCTCCTGGGTGCTCCCACAGCGCCCTCTGCTGCCTCTATCGAAGCGCGTTTCACTGTGGACCAAGGAACTCAGAGGCAAGCGTGCAGGATTAAGGCGCCTGGAGGAAACTGGTGAAGCTGGCTGGGCCCGAGAACAAGAGCAGCACCAGGAGGGTGGCTTGTGGCAACTCACGTGGGCCTTGGGTTGGGGACACTAGGGAGTGGTGGAGGCTGTGGGGAGTGGGAGTGGTCCTAACTTGAAAGGACAGCCGGCAGTCAGCCTCAAGAGAAGGCGGGAGCGCGTGAAAGTGGACCAGGAGCTGCCGGACCTCGTGAAGGTCCAGGAAATCTAAATTTTTAGGTGAAAAGTCCCACTTATAAATTTGTCAAGTAATTTTAAAGGAAAATCAAAACATTGACAATGAAGCCTTGTGTGTGCCGAGCGAAGTGTGATGAAGGCCGATGGTGTGTAACCTCTGCTCAGCCCGGAGTTGTTGACTTTGCGGGGTGAATCCTCTGCTCTGCTGTGGCTCCTCCAGGCAGGGACGCTGCTTGACTCGGCTCTGCAGTCCTAGGACGGAGCCAGGGCCTGGCTCGGTGGGCATTGGACGGACATTTGCTGAATGAATAAATGCAAGAGTGCCCTTTCGGCAGAGCCATCGGCTGTGAGCATCTAGTGTGGACTCAGGATGAAAGTAAAAAGGGAGGCGGGGCAGAAGAGGATCAGCGGTTGGCAGGAGTGAGCAGCTAGACAGCTGCCTACAACTCCAATTTCATTTCAGAGATACATGGTAGACAAGTAAAGAACCCTGGTTGACAGATTCTGGTGAGAGCTCCCTACCCCCTTCTCCATCACCAACACCACTGTGATGGTGAGGGTGACAGAAAATCCCAAGGCCCAGCGTGCTGTCAAAAGTGACTATAGAGGAGCCTTTCCAGAGAAACTGCTTTGCTGTCCTGAACCTTGGACCAGGCCAACTTGGACTGGGCCAAAATGGCACTTGTTTTTACAGGCAATTGTTTGAGAAGTCAGCAGGGGAACGGACATCCTGATCACCAAGACCGAGACTTGTGGCCTTTCTGAAGATAGAACCAACAGTCGATCAATGTTTAGCCAAAACTAGCTCTCTGCCACCAACCGCAATGACAAGTCTTTCTAATATAACCTCCCTTCTTTGCCTTTAGTATTCTTAATTATTTTATTTTAATTTTATTTATTTTTTTAAACTTTGTTTTACTGAGGTCACTTTGGTGTATAACCTTACATAAATTTCAGGTGTACACATTATATTTTGACTTTTGTATAGACTGCATCGTGTTCACCACCAAAAGTCTACTTTCCATCTGTCACTGTACATATGTGGCCCTTTACCCCTTTTACCCTTCCCTATGCCCTTCCTTTCTGGTACCCACCACACTGTTCTTCATATCTACGTGTTTGTTTGTTTATCTTCCACGTATGAATGAAGTCACATGGTAATTGTCTTTTCTCCGTCTGACTTATTTTGCTTGGCATAACACCCTCAAGGTCCATCCATGTTGTTGCAAATGGCACGATTTCATCATTTTTTATGGCTGAGGGATACTCCCTGGTATATATATGGGCCCATCTTCTTTACCCATTCATCCATTGATGGGCACTTAGGTTGCTTCCAAGAGTTGGCTATGGTGAATAATGCTGCAATGAACATAATTTACCAATTAGTGTTTTCATGTTCTTTGGATAAATATTTGGAAGTTGAATAGCTGAATTGTATGGTATTTCTATTTTTAATTTTTTTTTCGGAAATCTCCATACCGTTTTCCAGAGTGGCTGCACCAATTTACATTCCCACCAGCAGTGCATGAGGGTTCCTTTTTCTCCACATCCTCTCAAATGCTTGTTATTTCTAATCTTTAATAATAGCCATTCTGATGGGTGTGAAGAGGTATCTCATGGTAGTTTTGGTTTGCATTTCTCTGATAATTAGTGATGTTGAACATCTTTTCGTGTGCCTGTTGGTCATCTGTATATCTTCTTTGGAAAAATGTTGATATCCTCTGCCAATTTTTCGATTGTGTTGTTTGTTTTTTTGTTGTTAAGGTGTATGAGTTCTTTATATATTTTGGATATGAACCCATTATTGGATATATGAGTTGCAAATATTTTCTCCAAGTTGGTGGGTTGTCTTTTCATTTTGTTCATGGTTTCCTTTGCCATGCAGATGCTTTCTAGTTTGACGTAGTCCCAGTTGTTTATTTTTTCTTTTGTTCCCCTTGCCTGAGGAGACATGATATTCAAAAAGATACTGCTAAGACCAGTGTCAAAGAGAGTCCTGCCTATGTTTTCTTTTAGGAGTTTTATAGTTTTAGGTCTCACGTTCAAGTCTTTAATCCATTTTGAGTTAACTTTTGCATATGGTATAAAGATAATAGTCTACTTTCATTCTTTTGCATGTGGCTGTCCAGTTTTCCCAATACCATTTATTGAAGAGACTTTCCTTTCTCCATTGTATGTTCTTGGCTCCTTTGTTGAAAATTAGCTGTCCATAAGATGTGTGATCTTATTTCTGCTCCATTGATCTGTGTGTCGGTTTTTCTGCCAGTCCCATGCTGTTTTGATTACTATAGCTTTGTAGTATATCTTGAAATCAGGTAGTATGATAGCTCCAACTTTGTTCTTTTTTCTCAGGATTGCTTTGGCTGTTTGGGATCTTTTGTTGTTCCACAAAAATTTTGGATTTTTTGTTCTATTTCTATGAAAAATGTCATTGGGATTCTGATTGGGATTGCATTGAATCCATAGATTGCTTTAGGTAATATGAACATTTTAACTATGTTTATTCTTCCAATCCATGAGCATGGAATATCTTTCCATTTATTTATGTTTTCTTCAATTTCTAACAATAATGTTTTACTGTTTTCAGTGTATGGTTCTTTTCTC